GGGGGCCCACTCCGGCACCGGCTTCCCGTCGGCACGCACGATCTTCAGCCCGCGGGCCGCCACCTCTGGCGGCAGGCAGTCGTGGGCGTTCGCGTAGAATACCCGTCTCAACTCCTCCAGGTACCGTGCGAAGACCTCCTCGACCCGCTCGTCGCTGGGGTGCTCTTCTGGCGGGCCGACCTCTACAGGAGAGCCCCAACGAGCGTGAATGTCTGTCCGGACAGCCGAAGGAACAAACACTGCACAACACACAGCTTCGGAGCTTTGCGCGGGGTTCTCGGATCGGCGCTGGACCCCTCTGTCGGCACCTCATGCGCCGCCCCTGGCGCGCCCCGCGCGCCGGGGAGAGGGGTCCAGCGCCGACCTGAGAAATCCTGGCGGAGCTCCGACAAGTTAGTGTCGAGGCCGTTTCCTCCTTGGAGATAGGCAGGAGCATTGCCATGGGGATGCCAAATTTGGCAGTGACGATTGGAACTGTCATGCCAGTGAGTTTCTTGATGAATACTGTGAGCTTGCTGTAAAAGCCACCGTCGTTCCCGCTTCGCTTGTAGAGCTGGTTCTCGCCAAAGACATACAATATGACCAAAGGCGTTCCATACTTGATGGCCATACGGATGAAACCCAAGTTAGCGGGGAAATAGGCCGCCTCTTGGTCGTGCCGGGTTGCCGCCTGCTCCGCCATGCCACCTGGCTGTATAGCAACGCCACCGCCTTCGTCCATGACCCGCGTCAGAGTCTTCTTGTCCACTGGCCGGCCACCGAGAACCTGGATCAGATCTCCGATCCCTGGGGTCTTAAACATGATTGGCGCACCAGTGCAATGCCAGCGTCCACCAGTCGGTGTACCTCGTATGCTGTGCTCCGCGAGGAGAAAGATCGGGCAGTATACAATGAAACCATGTGGGTGCCACGTAATCATGTATCGTCGCGCTGGGTCACATTGCAAGCCTTCACCACTCTCGGACAAGATTCTCACACCCATCACCCAAGAATAGAAACGGAGAAGTTGACACATGAGCAGCGAAAACCACCGCCACTCGATGGCACTAGGAGCATGACCTGCACGATCGAGAGTGGCCAACCGCCACTGCGTCCAGAGCGCCACTACCGCTGCGCTAGCAACAGCCTTAAAACCTATGTTTGACATTGCGAAAATTGCAACGTGGCCAGGAACACCAGGAACCAGGGAGATGATTTGGCCAAACGTTTAGTCTACCGCCCTATTCAAGAATGCGTTTGAGCCAGAATTGGTGCGGTATCGCTGTCTTCTGTTGCATTATTCGGCACAGAGTGTCGTAGAAGCCTTGGCAATATTTCAAGAGAAAGGGTTTCAGATCGCGCAGAACCGCTCCAGGTCGGCAACTCGCAGCCAACTTCGGGGCGAATGTCAATAGCTGCGCTCTCACCCTTCTGTTCCCACTTCTGTTTCGTTTTCCCTTCGCTTGCTACGACCCTGGAAGCGTGCAGGGGGGGGCAAGGACCACATGCCCTCAATGAAACCTCGCTGCGATCCAAAGAATACCATATGACCCCATGCCTACTTAACTGCCTCAAAGTCTTGCTCGGGAGGGTGGTACATCATCTCCTCCAGCCACGGTCGTGTACCGTTCTGGCTGGCGCAGCGGAATCCCAAGGTCGAGCGACCAGCGGAGTGACCAGCGGGGCCCAGCAAACCTGTGTGGGGGGGGGGGGGGGCGCCACGTGGAGCCCGCTCGAGCGGTGCCAGGCAACACTGGAGAGCTCGGTGTGCTTGTGAAGTGTGACAGAAGCGCCTGCTGCTTGCTTAATTCGCTGACTCGCCGACTCGCTTTCAGAATTTCTGCGCTTCTCTTTTTATCCCTCCTCCTCCACATCGTCCTCCTCCTGCTCTTCCGGTGTCATGCTTAGCACGCTCACGGATTGAGGAGGCTCAAGGCTTGGAGGTTGTTCTCCACCTCACGACTCGGAGGCTGTGGAGCTGTTGAACAAAAACAACAAACATTAAACAAATGCCATCTGAGGCGGATCGAGGAGTAGGAGAAGCACGGCCGGGACATCCTGAGAAAGAGAAGGTGCAGCCGGGACTGGGGTGATAACTCGGCCGTGCGTAGCTTCATGTGATTTTTGTTTCTGGGAGCGGGGCCGTCCGGACCAACACATGTAACCTACAGTGCGGCGAGAGTACCGTTCCTGAATCCGCAGACTCTTCGGAGTGTGTGTGTGTGAAGCTGTCGTCGTCTTCGTCTTCGTTGCCGTCGTCGGCGCCAGTACCAAGGGAATGTATAAATGAACTGGAAAATGAAACGTCGTAGTTAAGCCGATTCCCTCTCCAATTTTCCCTCCCTGACAGACAAGGGGGGTGGGGTAGGGGGGGGGGTAAAGACACCTTCCCCACCCGCAAGCCGTCTGGCCCACTCCGACGCGCCCTCCCGAAACATCAGTAGCACCCGGGCCTCAGCATGTTCAGCGGTCTTCTTTGGAAAGCCAGCTAGCGGGAACCCCATCTGATCCCATGTGCGCAACGCTGGGGCGAGGTGCGCCACGCGTGCCAGGCGCGCCGCGCGCGTCAGGTGCGCCAGGCATCCCTGGGGCCCAAGCATGCTCACTCGATGTATATGTCCACCCCCGATACATCAATCTCTATGAAATTATCCCGATCAAGTTGTCCATCCACTGATATCGCTATCAATGTACGCGCCTGTATGTTGTATCTCGGGCTCGCCTATCATTGAATCAACCGATCACTGGGACAACCATCGGGAAGACTATCGGGACAACCATCGGGACATCCATCGGGAAAATCATCGGGACAAACATCGCGAAAACCATCGGGACAATGATCGGGACAATGATCGGGACAACCATCGGTACATCTATCGTGACAACCATCGGTACAACCGCAAGACAACCGCGGGCCCAATCCGCCAACTGGCGGAGGAGAGTCGTGTGCTCCGACTTCGGCCCGGCAATGGCACGATCACTCCCGCCAGCGCACGCAGCTTCGCCTCGCCCGTACGCATGGCACGAACACAATACCGAGACCGACATCGATCTCACCACCCAGCCTCCGATTAAATCCGATTCAAAAGGCACTAAACCGACTTTGCTCTAATTAAATCCTGGACTGAGCCGGGCTAGCCCAGGTAAGACTGGTTTTGGCAGAATTGCGACGGTGAGAACCGATGCAGGGCCGCCTTTCGACCACGGATGTACCAGCGCCGATGCTGAATTCAACCTCCAAGGAGCTGCACTCTAACAAGAGGGTGCCTTGCGCCTCATGTAGCGAGGCAAATGCGCTGACGAGGGGGGGGCAACGGTTGCGTTGAACTGGGAAGAGGACGTAAGATCTAGGGTATGCCATGGTCCTGACAGTGATGCCCCCCGCATTTAGACGACCCGAGATGCGTACGAACAACACGGGTACGACCCCCAACAACAAGTGTTGCCCTAAACCGACAGCGCCCGCTGTTGGGCAGGCTGCCTTCTGTCTGAAATGGACAACGTCCGCGGCGACACCGACAGCGAGCCCTGTTCAGAAAAGACAAGAACTGCTGTCGGTGTTCGTCACAATTCTTCCGTTCGGGCGGGTGGTGATGGGGGGTGACCTACATGGGCGATGAAGAAACAGGAGCCTCAAGGGGCCCTTGAGGGCCCCTTTTGGAGCCAGCAGGGTCCCGCAAGGCCCCCCTTCATGTCACACCCCATTACCACCCGCCCGATCTTCGTCCTCCTTATTTCCGTGCCCATGTCGGTCGCACCGAAATGATTCCCCCCCTCCCCCCGACCTCACACCCCCTTGCTGGGCACCCCCTGGCCCAGCGAGACTAGCTCCTGGGGGGCGAGGACCTGCAGCAGGGTGTGTGTTCGCGACGGGAAGCAGTGCGTTTCGATGTCGGCGGCGGGCGAAAGGGGGGTGGGAAGTGAGACGGGGAAGACCCTCTCAGAAGGGGGTGGGGCTTCTCAAAGCCCTCCGGCCTTCTGACAAAATGTTTGTGTTTCCAGGGATGACTTCGAAAACGTCTCAGGAGACTGGGGGACTTCCGAGCCGTCCGAGAAGGCCCGCCCCCTCTCGCTTCCCCCCCAGGCCGACCGCCGACAACGACAAGCCGCCACTGGGAGCCTGTCAGCGTGTCACTCCGTCTCGTGTTTGCCCGAAGGTATGGTGCTTCTTGAGAAGTAGCACGTTGAAGGTTTCTCTGTGGCGGTGTGTCATTGATACTGGTTTTGCTCCCCGAGTGTGGAAGCGGGAAGGAAAAGGTCAAGGAGCCTAGGGCAAGTTCGTATCGTCACGACCCTGTCGTAGGTTTCGGACACCGCAGGGGTCATTCGACTGTGAACGATCGGCTGCGTTTCGATCGCCAAATCGTCCCATATTGGTCGATTCTGGGCCACTGACGGCGTTAAATGTTGAACGCCCTCGGCGGGGTCGCCACCGCGTCCGCACGACAGACACCTACCGTGACCCACCGTAGGAGAAAGACGATGACGATAAGGCTCTCTTCCAAGGGAACGAGGGGCAGCGGAAGGAGGGGGGCTGACTCAAGGGGGGGGGAGGAGGAGGAGGAGGAGGAGGAGGAGGAGGAGGATGAGGAGGAGGAGGAGGAGGAGGAGGGAGGAGGAGGAGGGGGAGGAGGGAGGAGAGAGGAGGAGGAGGAGGAGGAGGAGGAGGAGGAGGAGGAGGAGGAGGAGGAGGAGGAGGAGGAGGAAGAGGACGAGGAGGAGGAGGAGGAGTGGCGACGCTCTGCCGATAGATGGACGATAGGCCCCCAAGTGGCCAGTCCACACACACACATTCTCCTGGGCGCGGTGGGCTCTCGGGTCCCCATCGGCGAAACCCGTCGGCGATCGGGGGCCGATGCGCCCCTCCCCCGCGGCGTTGCCTCTGAGTTTCCCTTCCTCCAGGGAGAAGTCCTCACGCCGGCGTCAGCCCGTGCATGAGCCGAAACGGCGACAGGGCGCCCTCGCGAGGACCTCCGGGCCGCGCCACGCAGGTGGAGCGTCGGAGGGGGCGCTGGCGAGGCCTGAACCTCAGCGAGTTCAGCTTCAGCACCTCCTGGGGCGTCGCCAGCTGGACCGGCGGCAGCAGCTTGCGGGTGTCCAGGAACTCCCTCGCGGCGCCAGCGTGCCGGTCCTGTCGCCGGTCGGAGGCGTGTCGTCGTCCCCGTCCGTCGCCGTCTGTCATCGGCCTGGTCGTCGTCATCGTCCTCGTCCTCGCCTTCCTCCTCCTCGTCCTCCTCTCCTCCTACTTGCCCTCCCTCCCAACTCCTTGTGGAGGAGGGGGCGAAAGCGGAGGAAGGGATGGAAGATCCACACGAGCAGAACTCACTCGGCTTCTCCAACCTCCTCTTCGCGGCAAAAAATGCCTTCGCAAAAGCGTAGCAAGCACGAAGAGAACGAAGAGAGGAGGGAGGAAAAGGACGAAGACGGTGAGGACCAAGGACAGATGTTAAGGAAGAGTGAATGTGGGCCCCCTCATGCCGCATGACTCAGGCCCTCAAGAGCACCGCGAGTCCCCCCGAGGGAGGGCGCAGCGTTGGCCACTGTATGGGCTGGCGGGGATTCGCGTAGACCGCGATTGCCTTACCCACTGGCTGCATTGCCTAGCATGTTATGCTCTCGGCCCTCAAAGATCTGGGCTCGCCTTGGATGTTTCTGGGCTGGCTTTGTGAAGCGTTGGTCGCTTGTGGCCTTCCGTGGTTTCCAACAACTTTGGGAGCATCGTCCCGAAGCACCGTCCGGTGGCCTCCTCCTCCCCTCCTTCCCGACAAGGCGCCTTGGGACCCGCCTTAAATCTGGTTTCCACCGGGCCCAGCGGAGAAGCCAGAGGTACGCCCGTCATGACAGGGGGGGGTGCCTATCGGGAGTTTTTTTTGTCTGCGCGCCCAGTTGAGGGGCGACAACCCACCTAGGAACCGACCGGCGACTGGGCATACCCCCGACAGAAAACGACAGGCAGGGAGGGGGCAGGGGGAGGAGGAGAAAGCAGGAAGAGAGCCTCCTTCCCCTCCTACTCGTGGAAGCCATACCATCGTGTGGGCTCTTACGAATCGACGCTCATCGACGCTAAATCGCCCCTGATCGACGCTGCATCGGCACTAGTCGACGCGTAGTCGGCGTCGTCAGATCGGTGACCAAATGCTAATCGACGCGAACGCACTCTAGAGACGGACCTACGAGGGTATACTAGGTTCCCATGATTTGTTGCCGAGCTCCTCCTCCTCCTCCTGCTTCTCCTCCTCCTCCTCCTCCTCCTCCTCCTCCTCCTCCCCCCCTTTTCCTCCGTCTCCTCTTCCTCCTCCTCCTCCTCCTCCTCCTCCTCTTCCTCCTCCCTCTTTCTCCTCCTCCTCCTCCTCCTCCTCCTCCTCCTCCTCCTCTCGTCCCCCCCTTCCCCCTGCGCCTGTTCCCGTTACCCCCGCGCGCAGCTCGCTCCTGGAGGGTGGTCCCGGACATGTCCTTCTGGCGGCACCAGTCGAGCCACTGCCACCTGCCAGCAGAGGAGACCCCATGTGGGCCATGACGCGCGTCATGACCCCCCTCCCCCACCACTCCCTCCCCACATAACGTACCACTCCCCCCATCACCCCCGGTGCCTCCCTGGCACTGCCGCGATGCGTCCAGCACCGCAATCTGTGGCGCCGAACCTGCAAGGCGGGGCGTTCGGTATCCCCCCTCCCGCAAGAGTGGAAACGAATTATCGTTTCGACGGCCTTGTTGACGGACTGGGGCCCCACCAACAGTGGCAACTAACCATTTCTCCGCGGCACCCGCCAAACAACAACGACGACCCCTATGACTACGATTACTACTACGACCACGGTACGACGACGATTACGACTACGATTACGACTACATACGCGACTACGAGTACGAATGCAATCACGACTGCAATCAGTATTACAATCACGCTTACAACCACGACTGCAATCACGACTGCAACCGCAACAACTGATTCCTACCGCAATACTCATGAGAAGACTCACGAATCCTCGAAACCCACAATGGATTATCCCCTGGGGAAAGAACTCCCCAATATTATCCAGCCCGGCCAACAAGAAAGGGAACATAACCCCCACCGCGACGACGAGGACGATTGCGACTACGACGATGACTTCGGTAACGATTGCAACCACGACTACGATTCCGACTACAATCGCGTCTACAATCGCGATTGCAATCATGCTTACAAGCACGACTGCACACACCACTGTGACCACAAACGCTGATTCCTATTGCAATATTCCGGGTAAGATGCTCACACCCTCTGTCGTGCAGAAAGCTCAAAATAAAATTCAACATAGATTGATCGCTGGGAGAGAGCAGCCCCCAACATTATCCAGCCCGGCCAACAATAGAGGGAAAACAATCTCCGCCGCGACGCCGAGAGATTCCCGCCAAGAGAAACACGGTGGGGGGGGGGGGGGTACAAAACTAAAAACCTCCTGAGGTAACGTCATGCCCTCCCTCCGGCCTCCCCCCCCCCTCTTCCTCCCCAGAATGCCTGTTATCGCCGAGAAACAGGTTACAGAGCAATTCTCATGGGCGCTATTAGGCGCTGATTGGCGCGACTGGGCGCTATTCGGCGCTTTTGGGCGCTGAGGAACGCTATTTGGGGCGAGTCGCGGATACAGATTCAATCCAAGGCGAGCGGGATATGCAATGATTTACTATCTAACCAAGGTGACCCAAGCGTTGCGTCCAAGGAAACTCATATCATGGCTTCCAACGCGTCGTGACAAATCACGACGGCACAAATGTTGAATTCTCACTTCTAGACAATAATTGTCGTTCATCCCCCCTCCCCAGGTACTGACGTACATTTTCAATCCAAGCGTCTCCCAGGGCTCGCACCCAGTTGTTTTTCGAAGGAAACTCTGGTGTCACCAAACTGGGTTGCTCGGCCCCGCACTACGCGAGCAACGGCTCCAGCCTGAGACTTCCTGGCAATGTATTCCAAAATCGCGCTCTCGCGCGGGATTTCCTTACAATTTCTGCAAGAATCGCGTACTCTCGCGGGACGTCCTCGCAATGTATTCAGACACCGCGCCCTCGACACTCAGGAATCACGCTCTCCGTGGATTTCCTCACGATTTATTTGGGAATCGCGCTGTCACTCGAGACTTCCTCACGATTCGTGCAGGACCCACGCTTCGGCAACCCGCCTGCTCGACCTGGCCGCCAGGGCCCGCCTTCCTCATCCGCCCGATAAGGTCTGCCCGCCCGATCTGCCCATCTGGTCATGCCACGTGTTTTCCACTTCTAGCTCCTCTCCTGCTACTCTCTCTCGCGCTCCATCCTCCTCCCTCCCCCTTGTCCCTCCCTTCCATTCGTCCTCTCTTCCCCTGCCTTAGGGGCTGCACAAATACACGGTGCAGGTAAGAAAGACATGCCCCTAAAGGCGATACGATCGAAGACTAAGGGGGCGAGTATCGAGGGTTTGGGATATACGCGTTGAATGGCAATGGTCTCATCTGGTGTCGATTGCACACGCTCCCCAGTTATGCCTGACAGAAGTAGTTCGCCCAAGGGTTTAGACCTCGATCTTGCTCGCGTCGCTGGCCACCATGTACGCCCAGCGGCGGGGTAGAAACCAACCGGCCGCACCCGATTCCGTCCCACCCAAGTCTCCTGATTACCACATCTGTTCTGGGAAATTCCGAAACGGTGCGGAGACAAATCGTGCGGTGACCTCGAAACCCGGACGAACATCACAGGCACAGCCCGTCAACGAAACGTTTTGGGACATCGGAGGCCCGAATCGCCCAAGACATCCTTGGAGAGCGACCCAAACCTCAAACCCGTGCGGCGACCCCGAATCCCCACCTGACCCGGCTAGAGGAACGAAAGACGGCACAAACGCACCTTCTCTGAGGTCAGCGCGGACTTCTCAGATCGGCATCAGAAGCGCCGCCAGGGGGGGCCCAGCGCCGGCTCAGCATTCGGTGCGGTCGCCGCACCGTTTGGGTGCCCCCGGAGCTTTCGTCCAACACCGATCGTGCGTGCCAGGGCCCGGCCATGGCGACTGCCGAGCTCCGTGCGCTCACCACAAGTCCTGAGCATTGGGCGCCAGATGTTCCTGGTCGCGACCTACGAGATCGGTCTTACCGACTGTGCGTCAAATTCTGATACGAGTCGATCGGAACTGACCGATTTGGAGTGGCGATCGGTCGCCACCGAGCGCGATCGAAAGGAACTGGTGTCGAATGTTCAGAGCCCGCACAGAACTCTGGGGGTGTGCACGAAGGTGATCCCTGGACCCGGGTGTTGCATCCAGCTTCTCGCGAGGTTTGGGGGCCCTGGGGCTCTGGACCTCACGAGTGCGAGGCGTGTGTTGGCCTACGCCCGGAGGACCGATCTTCGGGGACCTCGTCGGGCGGTGAACATGGATGACACGCACACCTTCGCCCCCCCTCCCAGAGCCCAAGTATCTATGTCTGTATCCACCGCCTGCCGAGGTCCCCCAAGACCGATCCCCCAGGCAGCGGTTGTGGACAAATCGCCGCCTCCATGCAAGGTGCTCCGGAGGCCATCTCTGGCCCTCTCCGGGCAAGCGTGGGTCACCTCAGGCTGAAGCAACCTCTGGCAACACTGGCGCAATCCTGCTGGCCCCCGGGTTTTGGGTCATGACTCGGCTCTCCTGCGGCCGTCCGGGGCGATCTGGGCACCTCCGGAACGCCCTCGGCGAGGCGCAGCCGCTAGAAGGCATCCCGAGGCAGGGAAGCCTTCGAGAACCGACGCAAACGCTTAATGATTTGCTTCGAGCGATCCCCACCGAAACCTTGGGCCCCTGCCCTCCTCCTCCTGCCCCATGCCTCCTTCCCCTCCTCCTTCATCCCCCCTCCCATCCTTAGACTGAGGGACGCAGGCGAGGAGGCCGCCCGCGGCGGGGCGGCGGCAAGGACTGTGGGATTCTCGGGACAACTGGGGGTCTGGCCTGGTCTTGGTTTGTTATGTGATGTTATCTTGTGCTCTGGTTGGGTTTGTTTCGTGATGTTATGTGGTTCTCTGCTATGTGACGTTCTGATTTGGTTTGTTATGTGATGTTATAGTGTGCTCTCTTCTTTCATAGTATGTGTTGTGTTGTCATGTTATGTCATGCTGTGGTATGTTCTGTCGTGTTATGTGTACAATGTTGTGCTGCTCTGTCATGATGTGATGTGGGATGTTCTGCGATGTTGTGCCATGGTATGCGTTGTAACGATCTTGCCATGCTATGTTCCGTCGTGTTATGTCATGGTTGTATTATGGTATGGTATCTTCTATTGTGGCACGTTGTGCTTTATCGTGTTCGTCGTTATGCCCTGCTGTCGTGTTATAATGTAGTCTGAACGCTGCGTCATGATATGGCGTGTCCAACCAAAGTGCGTTCGGTTATTATCAATTGTGTTATGTTCATGTGTGTTTCTGTCGTGTTATGTTATGTAATGTTCTGCCCAGGTATGCTTTGTGATGATAGATTATGTTCGAGATTGTCATGCTATTGCTATGTTATGTTATGGCATGTTCTGTTGTGTACTGTTGTGCATGTTCTGTTGTATTGTTGTGCTGTTTCGTGTTTGTCGAGGGCGCGAGGCGGGACACTCGGGGACTCTCGGGGACACTCGGGGACTCTCGGGAACACTTGGGGTCTGGCGGCCGCGGTATGCTGTCGTGTTTGTCGAGGGCGAGGGGGCGGGATTCCCAGGGACTCTCGGGGATACTGGGGGATTCTCGGGACAACTTGGGGTCTGGCGACCGCAGTATGCAGGGTGGGGTTGGCCAGGGGGTCTGTTCTTGAAATCTAACAACCACAACCTGTCGGGTGGGAAAAAGCTCGAACCTCACAACTTCGCCCCCCCCGCCTGAGCCTATCCCCCCCCGCAGGCCGCTCACCGGATGGTGGTGTCGTCCTGGCAGCCGCGCTCTTTTTGTTTCTTGGGCCCGGCCGAGCTTGCGAGCACTTCACCTCGCGATCTCACCGAGGAGCGCATTATCACGGATAGGGATGCAAGTGTTGGCGGCGCGCACAAGGGGGTAGGTGGAGAGGGGGAAAGCTTCTTAGGAGGAGGCTGCTTCTTAGAAGAAGGCACAGGCGTTGTCAGAAGCACCCTTCTTCAAGCAAGCCTTCCCCCCTGCCCCTACCCCCTGTGCGCGCCGCCAAAAGTGGGGGGATCGACGGAAGAAGAGGCGAGATACGCATTCGACAATGGACTCCTTATTACTCATCGATCCTGGGCCGTCTTCGGCGGTCTTCGGACGGTCTTCGGCGGTCGTCCGCGACCTTCGGCGGTCTTCTGATGGTCATCGACGGTCTTCATTGGTTTTCCGCGGTTGTCGGAACGAAGACTGGATGGCTGCGGCTACAGCTAAAGAGAGACACAAGGAGGAGGCGCGGAGATTGATTGGGGATGAGAATTCGCTGGCCGCACGGCTCAGAGGCGTGCTGCTAAGGTCTCTGGTAACCGTCTAGCTCTTGTTCTTGCTCGCGCGCGCGCGGGGTTGCCCTGGGGGGTCCCTGGGCGAAAAAGAACCCTGGTCGCAGCCCTGCCACCCGTGAGTCAGGGATGTGTTTTCCCAACCATTCTGTGGTGTTGGATCCTCGTTTTGAAGAGGCAACACCCCGCGTCTCCTCTCCTTCCTCCTCCCGCTCCTCCCTCCTCCCATCCTTAAGCGTCGCCCCTGGGGCGTCCAAGGGCGCCACAGGAGCCTTCATCGAAGCCTGCAGGAGAAGCCAATGGCGTCCGAGACAGTCCAAGAGCACTCGAGGACGAAGATGGCGTCTTCACCACCCAAGAAGCCTCTAAAACGCCGTAACAGCGCTTCAGGAGGACCCCCAAGAGGGCTCAGATAACCCAAACCAGTTGATTGTTCTAAGGTTTTTGTGAGATGTTGGCGTCACTGCCTTTTCGGGCTCCGACTGTCCAAAGCGGTCCTAGAGGCCCCCAAGACCGTCCCAAGGCAGCCCAAGAGGGTCCCAGGACGGCCTCAGGCCAGCCCATTGAGTGCGCCAAGTTGGTCCAAGAGGCCCCCAAAGAGGGTTCCAGAGGCCTCCAAGAGAGCCCCAAGAGGGGGAATCCGAGCTGACATGTCGAGCACTTTCTCAAAAGATGGCCCGGGACCGCCAGCAGGCCACCACGAGGCGCCCGTGCCTTGACGGCAGCACCCTCGGTCATCCCCAGCATGCGGGATGCACAGACTGGCTGGGGGTGAGATGTCGGTGGCCTTCGAGGCTGGCACTTGAGCGTGGCTCATTCTCTGAAATCCCACCCCCCGTCTCGGCACCCGCTGGTTCAGTGGACTACCTACCAGAGCACCCCAACTCACGGGTTCCATCCGTAAGTTTTCGATGTTCTGGGAATGCCCCCCCACTGGGAATGGAGGGCAACTTTGGGCTCTCGGGTTGGGTTGGGGTTGTTCGGTGGGTAGCGACAAGTCTGCATCGCCCCAGCCAGGGACGGGGAAGGGGGCGTAATTTTGCGTTGTGGGTGGGCACAGATCGGAGAACCTTCTGGCACTGAATCAGCGGAATCCTAACATGTCAGAGCACGACTTGAGTCAACACCGCCACCTGCTTAAAACCTCTCCGAGGGCCAGGAGACCCTTCCCAAAGGAAAACTAAGAGGAAACAACCTCAAGCAACACAGCCCAGGGGCGAACGGCAGACCTCGCTGCCGACGACGAAATCCGCCGATCCGGCGTGTGAGTTTTTAAAGACCCTCAGATATAGCCTGAGCCTCAGTTCTTGAGCTTCAGCTCTGCTGGGGGGGTGGGTGCCAGGGTGGCTCTGCTGGGGAAGGGGGGGGGTCCGAGTCAATTTTGGTGGCAAAATCGAAGCTCCAGCTCACTCCGGGTCGGCCCCTCGCCCCGGAGAGCTCGAACGCGGGCTCATAAAAAGCCCAGCGGCAGCCCAGACGGCCCAAGAGGGCCCTCAGTGGCCGAAATATCGCTCCAAGACACTCAATGTGCTCCTCAGACGGCTCCAGAAGCCTCCACCGTACCCTCCCGACACCTCCTAAGAGTGCCCAAAGACGGAAAATCTGCCCCCTTCCCTTGGGAAAACGTACATGTTTTGCATTTTCGCTTCGTCGGCCTTCGCAGCGTCCAACACGGCCCAAGAGACCCCAGAAACAGGCCCATGGGCTATCAAGAGGGCCCCAAGTCGGCCCAAGAAGGGCCCACGACGGCCCTGGAGGCCCCCGAGACAGCCCAAGCGGGCCCCAGGACGGGCCCAAGAAGCGCCCAAGAGGGCTCCATGACGGCCCCAGAAGGGCCCAAGACGGCCTAAGAGGCGCCCAGGAGGCACCAAAATGGCTCTAGGAGTCCCCAAGAAGCTCCGAGAGGCTCCAAGTGGCCCTCAAGAGGCCCCCCAAAGGCGCCCAAAAGCGCTCCCGAAGGCTTAAAAATTACCTCCTACACACCCCAAGGAGGCCTCCAGGATGCCTCCTTCATGTCCCCCAATCACCTCCAAGACGCCCCCACAGGAGGCCTCGAAGATGCGTCGTAGAGGCCCCTCAAGAAGCCCGCGCAATGCCTCCAAGCTGTTTTCAAACCACCTACGTTTGAACCAGCGCGCTGGGGCGAAAGCGTCCTTCTGACAGCGGGATCGTCCCAGATCGGCGGCACCGGCCAGAGGCCTCTACAATATGAAGCCCGCTGTTATCTCACGCTACATCCGACGCGCAAGAAACACCGGCTATCCCGCCCAAGGAGACGGGAAAACGTAGGCAGTCGAGGCGACACATTACGACTGAAATTGCAGCATCCGCTGCAGTTGCACCCGCCAGTCAAATGCAGCATCCGCTGCAGTGAGGGGGGGCAGGAACACGCATGGTTTCATGGGGCTTGTGCCTGATGGGGCTCCGAACCGCAGGGAAATAGCCTCGACGCCTGACATTATTATTGAGTGTGTGATTGCTGGAACCCTTGCACCTATACGGTCAGGAACCTTTGTTTAGCTAATTAGCATGCCAGGGCGGCGGCCTCAACGAAACGTTATGCATTGTGAGCTCTTAACGTGTAACTCCGCATCGCCTGACAGGAAGCTGGGAAAAGTCCAGGAAGGTGACGCCTGGTGACTGGGACATGGCTTGCGTGTCGCGCCGAAGCGTGGTGGGCCAGATCATGACTGCCCTTGAGACTAATTACTCACTGCGTGGAGCTCCCCATATGTGCATCTCATGCTTTATGTCATGCCGTAGTGAGCGTCTGTTCATGAGCGTCCTACCCCCTGGCGGCTCCCCTTACGGGTGCTGAAACCAGCGGCCCGCCTGAGACATTCTCACAATCTGCTCTGAAAGCAAAGGATGGTGGGCACGAAAACAAGCAAACCGCCTGAGACATCCCCACAAACTGGCCGCGAACGGGCCCGTGAGAACACCCCTGGCGGCTCCCCTAAGGCGTGCTGAACTCAGCGCTCTGACAGCAAAGGATGTTGGGCACGAAAACGAACAAACCGCCTGAGACATCCCCACGACCTGGTCGCGAACGGGCCCGTGAGAACACCCCTGGCGACCCCCCTCAGGGGTGCTGAAGCCAGCGCCCCGCCTGAGACATCATCAAAATCTGCCGCGTGTTGAGCAACTCAGACTATGAGAAGGTTATGAGAAGGTTTGAGTATGTGTAGATCTGAGTAGGAGTAAGTCTGTATATGAGTACGTCTGGGTATGAGTAAGTCTGAGTATGAGTAAGTCTGTGTATGAGTAAGTCTGTGAATGTGTACGTCTGGGTATGAGTAAGTCTGAGTATGAGTAGGTCTGAGTATGAGTAAGTCTGAGTATGAGGAAGTCTGTGTATGAGTAAGTCTGGGTCTGAGTAAGTCTGAGTATGAGTAAGTCTGGGTCTGAGTAAGTCTGAGTATGAGTAAGTCTGAGTATGAGTAAGTCTGTGCATGAGTAAGTCTGTGCTCTGGGTGTGTTCTTGTTCTCTGGAGTCGGCGGCGTCCAACATATAACAAGAACCCCATCTTAGGATGTGGGGAACAACAGAACTGCACAAACATCAATTCTCGAACCTCCCTCCCTGGCGCGCGGGGGGGCGCCGGAGGCGCCGCACCGGGGGGCCCGGAACCGGTCCAAGAGATCTGCGCGGAGCTCCGAGCAGTTCTGCTCTATACAACTTGTTGCTGATCGATTTGGTGTCCGTTCCATGGGAGCCTGCGTGGCCCCCAGCACTGTCCAATTTGGGCCTGACTTGGACCGGATTTGGAACACATGTGGACCGGATTTGGACCAGACTTGGACTGTATTCGTGGGGGCTAGGAGAACGAGGACGGGGAGGCGGCACAGGACGGGCGAGGAGGAGCAGGAGGATAGGCCAAATGTGGCCTCCACGCTGTCCACATGCAGGAAAAGCTGATTTCAATGTCGCCGCCCAAAGCTCCCATGAACAGACATCGAAGATCGATGGCGCCTGCACGCGGGCGACGTCCTGCCACCCGTGCTGACAGCAAAAAGCCCGAGGCGCTCCTGGAACAGCTGGCGCAGCTCGGCGAGGGCCTGGTCGCCCTCGCTGGCATCGTCGCCGGCCTTGCCAGCGCGCTTCTCCACCTCGGGGCCCCTCTTCGTGAGGAAGCATACCCTGGGAGTACCAGGTTCGTGGGTTCTTCGAATGGACCAGACATGTGGGGCCCAACCCGGGGATATAGGACAGGGGGGCGCCCATCCTCTCTATGGGGTGCGTCCCATTCGCCCCCCTGGGATGTATCCTCGAATGTGCCTCTAAGCGGCGTGATGTTTCACGTGTCCAGGCATGGGAGCCTCAGGTGGCTCCACGTAAACCCACAAGATCCAACTTGCGACCCAACTAAATCCCACCAGAATCCCCACTACAACCACTAAAAGTCAGAACGCGATAATATGAAAATTATCCCGGCAAAGCAACCTAACAGCGATGTATAGAAGCATATCTGAAAGCATTCCCCTTAAGATTCAGATGAACATCCAGTTGTCGAATTCTGCTGTTCTCGCAGTCGTAGTCGCATTCGCGATGACAGTCGCAGCGGCAACGGCAGTCGCAGTCACAGCCTCAGCCTCAGCCTGCCTCCTCCTCCTCCTCTTTCTCCTGCTCCTCCTCCTCCTCCTCCTCCTCCTCCTCCTCTTTCCTCCTGCTCGTCCTCGTTCTCGTCCTCCTCGTCTTGCTCGTCCTCCTCCTCCTGGTGCTCTCTCCTCCTCCTCCTCCTCCTCCTCCTCCTCCTCCTCCTCCTCCTCCTCCTGGTGGTCCTCGTTCTCCTCCTCCTGGTGCTCTCCCCCCCCCTCCTCCTCCTCGTCCTCCTCCTCCTCCTCCTCCTCGTCCTCCTCCTCCTCTTCCTCCTCCTCCTCCTCCTCCTCCTCCTCCTGGTAGTCCTCCCCCTCCCCTCCTCCTCCTCCTCCTCCTCTTCCTGGTCGTCCTCGTTCTCGTCCTCCTCGTCTTGCTCGTCCTCCTCCTCCTGGTGTTCTCTCCTCCTCCTCCTCCTCCTCCTCCTCCTCCTCCTCCTCCTCCTCCTGGTGGTCCTCGTTCTCCTCCTCCTGGTACTCTCCCCCCCCCCTCCTCCTCCTCCTCCTCGTCCTCGTCCTCCTCCTCCTCCTCCTCCTCTTCCTCCTCCTCCTCCTCCTCCTCCTCCTCCTCCTCCTCCTCCTCCTCCTGGTACTCCTCCCCCTCCCCTCCTCCTCCTCCTCCTCCTCCTCCCTGGTCGTCCTCCTCCTCCTGGTCGTCCTCCTCCTCCTGCTCGTCCTCCTCCTCCTCCTGCTCGTCCTTCTTCTCCTGCTCCTCCTGCTCCTCGTCCTGCTCCTGCTCGTCCTCGTCCTCCTGGTCTTGCTCGTCCTCCTCCTCGTCGTGCTCTTGCCCCTGCTGAAAATGTGGCCCAGGAATGGGAGTTCTGGGAAGTCGAAGAGCACGAAGTTGCCTACAGTTGGCTACGGGCATTCAAAATGTGGCCCGGGAATGGAGTTCTGGGAACTCGAAGAGCACGAAGTGGCCTACAGTTGGCTCCGGGCATTCAAAATGTGGCCCGGGAATGGAGTTCTGGGAACTCGAAGAGCACGAAGTGGCCTACAGTTGGCTCCGGGCATCCAAAATGTGGCCCGGGAATGGAGTTCTGGGAAATAGAAGAGCACGAAGTGGCCTACAGTTGGCTCCGGGCATCCAAAATGTGGCCCGGGAATGGAGTTCTGGGAACTCGAAGAGCACGAAGTGTGTGACTGTTGCATCCGGTTATTCTAAATGTGGCCCGGGAATGGCGTTCTGGGATGTCGAAGAGCACGAAGTGTGTGACTGTTGCATCCGGGTATTCAGAATGTGGCCTGGGAATGGAAAGTGTGTGACTGTTGGTGAAAAACGAGCCCGGCACCCTGCCGCCCGGCAACTCCCCAACACCTGCCCGGACCCCCCTGTGGAGTGATCTGTGAGCTCTTTTGAGTCAACTAGAAACCTATCAGTCTTCGCTGTTAGGTAAAAAGCATTCACGCTTGGCCACCTAAGATTTGTCATGGAAAAGTTAGGGGGTGGGGGCGACAAGTGGGGGCAAAAGTCGCCCGCGAGGGAGGTCTCCGCCAGGAAGACTAGATTACGCCCGGTGAATCGGCTGCGGCGAACATCTCCGTATCCGCGCCCTCGCGGTCTGGTCCCCAAAGGGAACTCCTCAGTGAGCTCCAGTGGCAGCGCCCGCATGCATTTCCACCCCCATTTCGGTGCACCACTCACATGTTTCGTGGCCACATGGGGAGATCCACCGAAGGCCCCAGGGGCAGCGCCCGCATGCAGCTCCACCCCCATATCGGCACACCATTCACCGTTTTGCGCACAGTTCACATGTTTCGTGGCCCCATGGGAAGCTCCACTTAAGGCCCAAGTGGCAACGCCCGCATGCAATTCCATCCGCCATTGGCGGCCCCGCCGCATTCGGGCACACCCTGAACTCGCTTCGAGGCCCAATAAGAAGATCCACCGAAGGCGATACTCACAACGACGGTACTCACAACTGCATATGGTTGAGTCCGTCGCCAGGCTATGCATTTGTTGTTGGAGGCGTCCCTCCCTCTCACTCTCTCACACACACTTTCCCTCTCTCTCTCTCCTTTATCGCGCCAATAAACATACTCCTCTCAACCATGAGAACATGAAAGCTTCTGACACAATTCACTGCGCTGCACGTTTGCAACGCGAAGCAGTCTCTCTCTCTCTCTCTCTTTCTCTCTCGCTCTTTTTTGTTTTCTCTCTCTCTCTCACTCTCGCTCTCACCCTTCATCTCTCATCATGTTGTTCTGTCTCTCTCTCTCGATTCTCTCTCTCTCTCTCATTCCTTCTCGCTCTCCTCCTCCACTGCCCCAAAGAAGAACACGAGGGGGGAAGACAAAAGGCGCTTGGCGGAGGAAAAGGGAATGCGGTTCCTTGGGGGCACGGATCCTTGACCCCAAGGCCTGCCCCCAAGACCAGCTGTAAATACCGAATCGGTTCTCGACGGTCTCGGGGGCCTGCGGACGATGGCCCCGAGAGCCAGAAGGCTGCCAAGAACCTGGAGAACCCAGGTTCCCTCAAGAGTTGCTTCCTTCCTGGCGAGAAGGGGGGAGGCGACCTCCTCGAGCGGGAGAGCGCGAGGGAACACGACCGTGCCACCACTGCCTCCTTTGCCTGAGCGCCTGCCTCGCATCGCCACAAAGAAGGGAAGGCCACGAGCGAAAACAGCAGCCAACCTTCTCGCCACTGGCGAACTCTGCTTGATCCCCGGGCTTCCCGTAGTTGAGGACGCTCTTCATCCGCCACTCGTGCGCCTCCTGAGCAGGAACCCTACTGCAACAATCGTGATGGCAGTTTGCCTGTCGTTACTCTCTATCCCTCCTCCTGATTATCATTACGCCATTCCTAGTCCTTCTCCTCATCATTCTCCCTTATCGCTCCACACTGGCGTGCCCCTGCCTCCATCTGCACTCGTCACCCTCTGGGTACCGCCCACCACCGAGGTGCGGAAGAGGCAAGCACCAAAGGGGCCCAGGGAGACACACAGAAATGTACACAAATACTCGGGTTCCTCATATTTCAGTATGTTCTGGGTTCTCGTCTTCCCTGCCATCTCCCATGTTTTGTCAACATCTGCATGGGAATCGCTGATGGTTTGTGCCTGTGCATGTTTCCCCCGAGAGAGTCAGCTCACGCAGCTGGTGTTCCTGGCGCCTCCTGAGGCCGGCAGGCGTCCAGGTATCAAAAATTGGCCTGTCGGCGGGACCAAAACCAGCTTGATGCAGCAGATTTCGCACCCCCCCTTTAACTATCCTACCATCTCGTCAGGCCCGAACTTAGGGCGGGAATCACTGCGGACAGAACGGCTAAGAGTATGGCAAGTAGCGCCCGCGTGGGCCTGCAAGAAGAAATACAATATAGGGAGCTCATGCCAGAACCCCAAATTAGCAACAACTTGATGGCAGCCCCAAGAAGCCCAATCGGTCCGGAGACGTCTGCTACGGAAGAAGCAATCTGCAACGACAGACGCAAGGCGCAGGGCCCTGGGAATGGAAGAAGCGGATGGTTTCTCATAGGGTTCGCACTACTGTCGACGAACACCCGACGAGTTTGGCGCAGCCCGACGAAAGAAATACTGCCGCAAGCGCACAGCACGCAACACAACCGGGCCTGGCCCGCATATTCGTTCCAGCCTCCCTGAAAATCTCTGGTCCCTTCCGCTCGGACCTCATCCTGTTCCTCCTCCTCCCCTCCCCTCGGCATCCTCACCTCCCATGCCCCCTCCCCTCGGCATCCTCTCCTCCTCGGCATCCTCACCTCCCTCCTCCTCTCCTCCCCTCCCCTCCCCTCGGCATCCTCACCTCCTCACAGCCCAAGAGCTTTCCACAAGGTCGACTCCCGAACGCCTCGACGCAATCCCCAGGACCAGCTTTTCGACCCGAGTGTCCTCTGGACGGTCACCGGGGCCGGCGAGGTCGCCCCGAGGCCGAGCAAACCCGAGGCCGAGCAGACGCAGCTGTTTTTCGTGTTGTGTTGCTCAGCGGCGGAGTGGGGCAGCGGAGCGTCGGGCAGCAGCCAAGGAGGCGCAGCACAGCCAGGAGCGCACCGAGCACGGAGCCAGACGGAGGAGAAGGTGAAGGCGGAGGCGGAGAAGGCCCAGAGATGCGCAGCTCACCCCTGCCTCACACTCCTCTGCCTTCTTCTCTTGAGCTCGGACCTGCTCCTCCCTCGTCCCCCCTCGCTCCCACGGCGCTTGCCACGCACCGGGCGCTCTCCTTGGTGCGCTCTGGGGCGAGGCCCTCGAACATCTCCACCGCCTCTATAGGGGGGATTGCGTGCGGAACTGGCAGCCGAGGAGGTCGAGGGCCCAGGAGATGGAGGAGGATGAAATGGGGCAGTTAGCTCGACGCGAATTCCAAAATTTCCTACATTCTTCAATGTGTCCCATATTGTCCCAAACTTTCCGGTATTTCCCAGATTATCGAATTCCCATCAGTGTCCCCTATTCCCCCAGAAATCTACATTTGCTTGCGTCTGTGTTTACTTTCCTTCCTACGTAAAAGATCACGGGGGAGGAGGTGGGCCAAGCGTCGACCCTGGAGATATCCGCGCGGACCTCTGGAAATGATGCTCGTGCTCGTGCAGCTGTGTATCGGCGGCGAGCTAATTAGGGGGGGAGGAGAAATAGAAGGCCTTCTCAAAGGCGGCGGACTTCTCAGAAGCCCTCGCGCCTTCGGAGAGTTTTCCATGTCTTCGGGGAAAGCTTAGCAAATTTCTCGGAAGTCTGGGGGACTTCCGAATTCCGAGCCTTCTGAAAAGCTTCGCCCCTTCTCACATCCCCCCTCGCTCGCCGCCGAATGCAACATTGGGGAAACGAGTCCTGAGGAACCAGATCCCGGACCCTGAGGCCTTCCCCCGGGAGCAACTCTTCATCCTGAATCGTTTTCTGACAGTTTCCGCGGGCATGCGGGCCTGACCTGACCTGAGAGACAGGTACGGCACCGAACACTGCACATCCGAGGAATGGAGCGCTCCTTCTCTTGCCCCCGGCAGGTCTCCGGAGGCCCTCGGAAGCTCTCTCGCAGGCTCCGAGGGAGGCCCTCCGCGGCCGCCGCCGCTGCGGTCGCCGTCTCCGCTGCCGCCGCCGTCGCCGTCTCCGCCGCCGTCGGCGACGTCGCCGTCGCCGTCGCCGTCGCCGTCGACGTCGCCGTCGCCGTCGCCGTCGCCGTCATCGTCGGCATTGCCGTCGCCGTCGCCGCCGCCGTCGGCGGCGTCGTGCGCGGCCTTCGGGAAGAAGGCCCGCAGCGCCGCCAGGGCCGCGCTCCGGCAGGCAAGGACCGAAGTTCTCGCGGCCTCGCCTGCGGGCGGCGCCGCGCGCCGCCGCCGCGGGCTCCTCCTCGCCCCAGCATCTCTCCCTGCTCCCTCCCCCTCCCTGCTCCTCCCTGATCCTCCATCCTGCCTGCTCCTCCCTCCCCCTCTCCCTCCCTCCCCCTCTTTCTCCTCCCTCTCCTCCACCCCCCGCCCCCCCCTCTCATCGTTCTCGTCGACCTCGTCGTGGTCGTCGTCGTCGTCGTCCTCCTCCTCCTCCTCCTCCTCCTCCTCCTTCTCCTCTTCCGCCCCCCCTCCTTCTCCGCCTCCTCCTCCTCCTGATCCTACTTCTCCTCCTCCTCATCCTCCTTCTCCTCCGAGCGGTCGTCGTCCTCCTCGTCGCCGCCGCCGTCCCCCGCCTCGTTGTCCTCGTCGCTCGTCGTCGTCGCCGTTCGCGAGGCCGCGCAAAGGGCTCGGGCAGCCCGCCCGCCTCTGAAGCTGGCCGTGCCGCTGCCACCGCGGGCCGCCTCCGTGACCTCTCCGCGGGCGCGCGCGCGGCGCGGCGCAACGCGCGCGCTGGTGCCGACTGACCGTGCTGGGCATGGCAAGGGCCATCGCACGGGCTCGGAAAGGCTCGACCGGAGAGGAGGTGCCGACGAACCGTGCTGGGGATGGCGAGGAGCATGTGCTGCATCGCATTGCGAGGTCTATCTTGACTGAGGAGGCCTCTTTGAACCACCCAGTCGACGTGGGAGGAACAGGGAGGGACTGAGGAGGGGGAGGCTGGAGGGTGGGGGGTCGTTGTCGTCGTCGTCGTCGTCGTCGTCGTCGTCGTCGTCGTCGTCGTCGTCGGGCTCGGCCAGGGGGAAGGGGGAAGGGGGGAGAGGGGCAGAGGGAACGAAGTGGCCAGGGGGGAGAGGAAGAGGGAATGGGGAGCATGGAGGGACAGGGGTGGGCAAGAGGAGGAGAAGGAATGAGGACGAGGAGATTATGCGCAGGGGGGAGGAAGACGAGGAGGAGGAGGAGGAGGATGGAGGAGATAGGAGGAGGGAGATCACTGCGAGGAGGAAGCAGACTGTAGGCAGGAGAATGGGGGCAAGCAGTGGCAACACGAGCAGAGCAATGGCGAGGACGAGGAGGGACAAACACCAGCAGAATCTACTTCCAGGCTTTCACATGGGCCCAGGCTCCGGGGGGGACGCCACCCCGCCCCCCAACGTCACAGAAAAAACATGCTCTCGTGCCCAAGGGAAGGAGGCGGAGGATGAGGATGAGGATGAGGATGAGGATGAGGATGAGGAGGAAGAGGAGGAGGAGGAGGAGGAGGAGCAGATGGGGAATGGGGACGGGAATGGTGAGGAAGACTACGTAGGATGTCGATGAGGATTACGGAGCGGTTGTGGCTGACAGGAGGGAGGGGGGGGGGGGGGGGGGGCACTTTTCAGCGCGCCTCAATCTGTTTTGTTTGTCTCGGTTGCTGAAGCCTGCCACAGCTGTCATTGCCGACCCAGGCCTCTGGCATCGTGGATCTGCAGCTGCCCACGACGAGGGCCCCTTGCAGGACCTGACCCCAGTCGGGGGTAGTCTGTTCGTCGCGGGGCGAGGTGTGAATGTCTTGGGGTCCGACACCCATCGTTCGGAAGAAATGGGTAGAGACACTAAGCAGGAAGGCGCCCAAGGTATCTTCCGCCTGCCCCCTGCCAGGACGGAGGGAAACGCGCAAGCCACTCTTATTGGAATAGGTAAACGCCTACAAGACATGGGGGTCTGGGAATCCAACGGTATCTTCTCTCAGCGAACGATGGGTAGCGGCCCTTTTGGCGAAAACGCAAAACTGGCTCTTACTTTGTGTCGCCAAGCGTCCTCTCCTGCTGTTGGTAGGCCTCATCATTAAAGAAGAAACTCGGGCATCTGCTAACCCGGGTCAATCAGACCCGGGTCAACCAGAAACCAAAAACTGAAATGCAGGAAAAAAAATGACTCGCAGGTCTTCGCAAACCCGGGTCAGCCAATACGCGCGGCCGCCTCGCGGCCACGAGCGGCTCGCTAACCCGGGTCAGTCAGAGAGGGTCTTCGCAGGATCCTGCAAGATCTGGCGCTCTGGCTGACCCCCGTTTGCATTGACCCCTGTCTCAAGGCTCCCGAGAAACATTGTTAACCCCCACTCCGGTGCCGATGTGCCGATTGTATCATAGTATCCCTCCAATGGGAATGCCCATCACATGGCTCGCACCCTGTTTGTTATAAGGGAGCATCTTGAGGCTCAGACCGGGCCCCTGGCCCTCAAACTTCATCAACAACGGCTCCCGACTGATATGTCCTCACACGTTCGTGAAGGGTCGCGCTCTTGCGCGAGACTTCCTCACAACCTAGTCATGAATCGAACTCTCGAATGGGACTTCCTCGCGCTGTATTCAAACGTCGCGCCCTCGACACTGATGAATCACGCTTTCGACCTGGACTTCCTCACGATGTACTTCGAAATCGCTTTATCGGCAGAGACTTCCTCGCGATTCATGCAAGACTGACGCTTTAGAGACGCGCCCGCTCGACTCGGCCGTCTTGGCCCGCCCGCACGTCCCACCTGTTAGGGTCCGCCCGCTCGACCCGCCCATCTGGTTCTGCCGCTGGCTTTCCTGCTCCTACCCCTCCTCCTGCTAAGCTATCTCGTGCTCCATGCTTCTCCCTCCCCTTTGTCCCTTACCTCCTCCCTCCCTTCTTGCACTCCGTTCCTCCTCGCTATATGTATTGTCATGGCTCCTTCTTCATGTGTTAGGGGCTGCGCCAACTACACGGTGCACGTGAGGGAGGTATACCCCAAAATGGGGTGCGATCGAAGACGGAGAAAGCGGGTATCGAGGGATTGGGATATGCATTCTGATTGACGCGCGAGCAGACAAGAGCAAACAATAGTTAGTTGTTTGTTTGTTGTTGAATTCCATTTCTGAAAAATGATTATTGTTGCTCCCCCCTCTGGTGCACCCGGTTTTGTTTTTCAATTGATTTACCCCTCACCAGGCTCGCACCATGTTACGAGGGATTATCATGAGGCTCACACTGACATCCTGACCCCCGGTGTACATCAACAACAGCTACCGCCTGAAACTTCGTCACAGTGTGCTGAACATCGCGCGCTCGCGCGGGAATTTCTTCCAATCCACCCCGGAATCGCGCTCCCGCTCGGGACATCCTGGCAGTTTATTGAGACGCCGCACTCTCGCCACTCAGGAATCACGCATTCGCTCTAGACTTCCACATGAGTTACATGAACATCGCACTATCGTTCGAGATATCCTAGCGAATCCTACATGTATCACGCTTGAGCGCCTCGCCCGCTCAGCCTAGCCTTCTGGGCCAACTCGCCCGACCCGCCCATCAAAGTCCTCCAGCCCGACCCACCCGTCTGGTTCTGCCGCTTGCTTTCCTGCTCCTAACTCCCCTCGTGATAAACTATCTCGTGCTCAATCCTTCTCCCTCCCCCTTGCCCCTTCCCTCCTCCCTCCCCTTGCACTCCTCTTCCTGTGTTGTCATGCCTCGCTCATCTTCCTGTTTACGGACTGGACCATCTGCAGGTGGCAGGTGAGGAAGATATACTCCCGAGGGCGGTACGATCGAAGACGGAGAGAGCGAGAGTGAAGGGTTTGGAATATAGATGCATAATTGCACGCGAGAGGGTCAGAGCGAACAGCCTTAACATGACGGTTGGTGTTGCCTCAGTGCCCCGAGAGCGGGACCCAGGACATCGAGATCACACCTGTCTGATTAGGTGTTTCGCAACGCCTCTGGAGAGCTATCAACTCAGCGACACCGACAGTTTTGTCATCGCGATCGTTGTGGAGGTCGTGTTATCGTAGACGTCGTCGTATCTTTCGTCGTCGCCGTCGCAGCCGCCGTGGTCGTCTTCGCCACGATCGTGGTGGTCGTCGTCGTCGTCCTGTCCGCAGCAGTCGCCGTCGACGACGCAATCATCGTGGCCGCTATCGCTGTCGGTCGTCACCGTCACAGTCGTTATCGTCGTCGTCGTCGCGGTCGTCGTCGTCGTCGTGGTTGCTCTCACCCCTGCGCATCTACCCTCCTTCTCCTCCCCTTCCCCCCGCTCCTCCTCGCACCCCGCGCTCAAGATCTTCAAGGACATTCCCTCGCTCTTGCTTCCACTTGCAGCGCTAGCTCATCTCGTGGGCTTCTGGGGACTGGACTGCCTGCTTGCTCCTCCCAACTCCCTCCTCCTCGTCCTCGTCCTCGTACTCCCTCATCTCTCCTACACGTTCTCTATCAAGTAGGGGGGAGGAGGAATAATACCATCAAAGGAAGAATAATAATATCAGGGCGTTTTCAAGGATTGCGGGGCCCGAATGGGTTTCTGGGAAGCCCTGCCACGTCCACCTTCGTCGTACCGTTCTCGTCCTCGTCCTCGTCCTCGTCCTCGCCTTTCTCCTCCTCCAATCGCCCACACTAAGACGAGGCCAAAACCTGGACAAACTCGCAGCGGGGCATACCGGGTAATTCTGAGATCTGGCCGTTCCAGAGCGCTTCCGAACGCTCTTAGAGTCTTAGGGCGTACCAGAAACGCTTTGACAAGTACTCCCCGGTCCTGGACTCGCCCGACAGATTCGGGAGCGGCCAAGAGGGGGGTGTCCAAGAGGGGGGGGTGCAAATCATGACCAGCGGCATGTGCGCGGCCCAGCGGGGGGGCCAGGGACGTAACGAAGCAAGAAGAGGCGCCATGAAATCTGGGGAAATATCATGGCCCCCGCTATGATATCCACCCCCCCTAGTCATCACCCCCCTCTTTGCCGCCCCCGACAGATACACCTGTGAGAACCCTCGGAAACCTCACCAGAAAACAACAGATAACACTCGACTGCTCCGAGAACCTGTGCCGTCTCTGGCAGCCAGACCACCCAGGACCCGCCCGTGGGCGGCGAGCCAAGGCGGAGATGCAGCGGGGGGGCGGAGTCGTCTCTTTTCTCTTGACTCTTGCATGAAGGGCACTGGTCCTGAAGGAAGCGGGTGCTGGACCCCGAGACAGATTCTGCCATCCTGAGCCGATGCTTGACAACCGTGGGGCCTGGGGACGGCCATGCATAGGAGTAGACGACGACAGCAATCGAAGGCCTCATCCCATTCTTCCATGACGCCTTTCCTTCCCGGCGACTGCTTAGAAAAGTGGTCCCGTCTCCTTTGCTGAAGGCGGAACGTTAGGGGAGGATCAGCTCAGGGAGGGGGGGGGCGACATCGAGCTGGCTTCGGCGATGCATCGCTGCTAGATCGGCGGTAGGCCCTCGATCGCGAATCAGCCCCTTCCTGGGCGGGTTGGGCTACTGGGCCCCTATCGGCGATCAGTGGGCGATCGGGGGTCGATGCATCCCCCCCTGAGCCTATCCCCCCTCAACGTTGCCCCTGGTCGTCGCCGCTAGCACTTTGATCGTCGCCGCTGCCCCGTGATCCCTGCCCCTGATCGTCGGCGCCGCCGAACTAGCTGCACGACAGCTCGGGTAGGACATTACTACAGAATTCAGGTACCCCAGGAATTATT